GATTTTATTGCTGACTGATGGTGTTGTTTTTATTGGTGTTCCTTGATCTGCTGAAATGTCCAGAACAAAATAGACTCAAGTAAAAGTAAAAATATAAAAACGACACTGAAACAATAGATTTTAGATTTTCCAGATGTTAAAATACACGTTTTTTTTTGTTCAAATCATTGTTCAGACTGCCTCACCCATCTGCTCTGTTTCACTGAGTGCACTATACCTGCAAGTGAAACACTGACTACTCATGCATACTTTACATAGCCAAAGTCTAATACTCCTACAAGCAACATAAATATGCATGAGTACTGAAAGCTTGAGATCCCTAGGAGCGGTGTTGGTCAGAAAGGATAAAACCTTTGATGGTTTTCACTGAATATCACTTAAAATCAGGCAGAAACACACTCATCTTTAAATTTCAGCTACATTGTCTAAGATCTACACAGCCAGAAACGTTTTATCTTGATTGATGCAAACATCACAAGCATCTGCTGCACATTGACACGCAAAGGCCCAAGTTATGCGCTCAAACTGAACCAGAGAACGCAAACGATTTATTTGGGTCCGGCTAAGCAAAAAATGTGGAACGCTAAGCCTTGATGGAGTTGTTTTGTTCTGTTTTGTGGGGGTCAAGAGTAACTAAATTCGGGTGGCGAGAAAGAGAGAACAAAATTGCAGGGTTGGGGGAAGGATAAGAGAGAAGGTATTACTGGAGGAGAGAATGGGAAGAAACAGAGAGGGGTCGGTAGAAAGTGAGACCGCAGAAGGGTGGGAGGGTAAAGAAGTGGAGGGAAAGAGCTAATCCTGCCATGATATCTTTAATCCTGCATTAAAGGGCTTGACTGAAACTTCAATACTCTGTCAACTCACTGTGAGAGGAACCTGCTGTGAGAATGAAGTTGTTGTGGAGAGAAATAGAGAGCGACAGAAAGAAACAGAGAGAAATGAAGCACATGAGCAGGAAAAAAAGAGAAAGAGAGCTCAGACGAGCAACAACTAGCCAGGGATCAGAAAGGAAAGAGAAATAATGAAAAGATGGAGCGGGATAGAGAATCACAAGGAAACCAGTCGACTTCATTTAGACTTTATCTTAAAGTTCAGATACGCTATTTAAGAGTTTACTGTGATAGTAAAGCTGCTCTCAGTGAGGTCTGGACTCAAAATTGCTTTGTGGTGAACAAAGAGACAATTTTAAGGGGGGAAAAAAAACGTCTGTTTTGGTATCGGAGTCCTAGACTAAACTGAAGTCCCAATACCTATTCTCAGTGTATTGTCTGTGATTTCATGTCAAGCACAAACAGTAGTGACATTTTACACTGTCTGGGTTTTTAAATAAAGGCTTATTTACGTGGATACAAGTAGCAAAGCCATATTAGAAGCTATGCACATTTTTTTCACTCTTTAAAATGATATTCAGATTGAAAGGCTATATTGTCCACTCCAGGTCTGTGCTCGTGCTCAGACACACTGTAAATATATAGTAACCATAGTAACCCAGACAAATAGCCATTAAATTGGTAATAAATTTATAAAGCAGGAAAATCACTTCTTCTGCAGGTTTTCTGTGCGTGTGATTATCTGTAATTGCTCTAAATTTGATCATCAACAAGTCATACTAAAACTGAGTAGACATATTATCATTACCTTGTGTTTAGCTAGGCTATGGTTAGCATGTTTACCTGGTACAGGCAACAGTTGCCAGAAATGGTTTAAGCTAGGGGAAACACGTGAGTTTACTGAATATTGACGGATCACATACATCTCTAGAAACAAACAAAAAAAATTGTTTTACCAAAGTCCATCTGGAAACAATGGACACCAAACCAAACCAAACATGTTTGGTTTGGTGGCCAACAAACTCAATCTAATACTATTGATAAAATGTAGCCTATTATCTTAGTTTACGCTTATGCTACTTTGTTGTAAACGTCATATAGCCATGATTTTCATCAAATTTGGTTTTGGTGCCGACACTATTCCTTAATGAACTGGACCTGTATTTGAAAAATCCTGATGGGAACATGCTTAATTTGTATTTTTAATTTAAAAAATGTGCTTCAGATCCCATTTGTAAAACAGAAAATAGTTGTAATATAGTTAAGAGCAGAAACCATATTTGATTTACAAAGCATAATATCTTGATTGAGTTGACTGTAAATGCGGCAGAAATAATTTAAGCCTCACTTCCCACTAATACCGACACAGTAATGAATATCAATGGGGAAAAAAAAACCTGGCACATTGTAAAGATTTACAATAATGGATGGGTCATATTTTAACAAGCATCTCAAGGGAGGCTTTTAATCCTTGTTTCTGGCATTTAGTTCCATAAGAACTACAACATAGAACCTGCACTGCCATTAAAACAGGAGTCATATGATCACTGTCCAGGAATTAACTGTAAAAAGCTCAGCGAGGATTAGGTGAAATACTTGCGCTATGACTCAGCTGACTTGAGCTGTCTCTCGGTTTTTACTATTTTTGGGATTGTATCTGGATGTAGGAAATGCGAGTCAGTTCTGCTTACGCAGGCCAAATACTCTGACTTTGAATGTGTATTTTACCCTTGAATATACAAAATGTACAACTAAGCGCCAGTTCTGACATTCTACTCGGAGGGTTCGGATATGTTTTAACATCACGGTCAGCTCTCTAAACAACCGAACACGCAAAGCCAGTGGATCACGTCCCAAACCCAGACTTTGAAAACAAGAAATCCGGGAGCATAATCTGCCTAAGCCTTTTATCTCCTCTCAGGCTGGGCTATTTGAGGCTGAAGGAGCAACACTCAAAGAGAAAAAAAAATGAGGAAAAAGAGAAGAGAAGGAGAAGTTGGATGGTGAACAGCTCTGCATTTTATTCAGGTGAGATCAGGGACTTTTTTTTTAGAACCAGTAACAAAGCAAGACCTTTAGGAGAAAGAAATTAGAGAGCATAGAAAGAAAAAGATGAGGGAATTAATATAAAATGAGTGATAAGACAGGGAGAGTGAAAAAGTAGAAGTGAAGCTGATGGTGTGAAAAAAAAATCTTACTTCCTCTGTGACCATAAAATAAGCTTTATGACGATATTTGGGTGTAAATAGAGGCACTTCTCTTAATCCCATTAATCATTCAAAAGTAATTTATACTGTGAGGTCTTGAAAGTTAACACGTTTCTTTGAAGAAACCCATTTTGCAGCACAGAGTACTGCTATATTTAACTCGACCGCAAACACACCTTTATGTCATAATAAAAACTGTGCATCACCAAAAGCATCACCCCACCATGCAGAGCCTCATGCAAAAGATCCATTCAATCAACCTTCATCATTCTTTCTTTATGATCAATGTATCAAATTCCAGCTGTCAAACATCCCCAACTCCTTTTAAAAGGGCTTATTATGTCAATTATGTTACACATATTGCAACAACTACAATACAAAAATAGTTTTCTTTCTCAGATTTGGTTGGAAAAAAAATCCACGTAAACAATGTCACATATAGTAAAATATTTTTTGTTTTTGTCATAGCAGTCTGTTCAGTCTTATTTTGGAGAATTAAGGAGATTTTGTGGGGCTGTCATTACCTAATGTGAGTCGCTGTTAAGCTAACAGAAATGTGAAAGTTTTATTTATTTATTTATTTATTTTTGTCCAGTTGAGGTCAGAGGTGAGTAAATGAGTCCTATTGAAATGCAGTTAGCCATATTCAGGCTTAAACCTAACATATTTATGGATTTGTCAGTGGACCATAACTCCAAGTCATACTGTATTTGCAGATTTTTTTTCACCCAGGACAGAAAATACAGCTTTGGAAGCTAAAATAACTAGATATACTATTGGCTGGCATTTGCAAATCAGCCAATCCAGGAGCACACTTCATTTTCTTTAGCATTGACTAGCTGCGCCTCCCACATCCCCACCAAGACCAGATTTTCGCTATTCAAGGGTTTCACTGCATATCTATGTACTTTGAATATCTTTCCATATCCTCTACATCTTTGAATATGTTTTTTTTAATTGTGCTTCCTGTTTTATGATGATATTTTAAGGTACATTTGGTGTTTGAGGAGTAATAAGGAGTTTTAGAGGGTGTTTCAGCGCGTCGCTGGTGGTTGTGGTCCATAACCTGTGCTGATTGCATGTGTTGGCATCTAATTTAAGGTGCTAGCACAGAGTTGACTCACAATGGGAAATTACTTCTCCTGCATGACTCAGTTCAGACAGCAACTAAGTCCAAAAAACAGCATTAAAATGTTTATCTTCAGTAAATTTGCATTATTTAAGGCAAATGCTATGTACTTGGTAGTGAGAACTTGACGTTACCCATAGCTTAACATCTTCTATTTGAAAGTCAGAAAACCTGATTTGATTTTATGCTGAACTAGTTACTACTGCAGAACAAGCGCAACAGGATGATTATGTCCAACTCCAAATGAACATTATGTTATTGCTTTTATCATGTGGAAGCCATAATGTTATTGGATTTATTAGGGATTCATTAGGGGCCCCTGACTTTCCAAACTGGACTTAAATAGCAGATGTTCCTACTTCATATCGGTGCAACTCACCTTTTTAATCACAGAAAATAACCACAAAAATGTACTTTCTTGTAACACTTTGGATAGTGTGTGGCAGTAAGTTACTTGAACAAATGGGCACAGCACCGAAAAGGTCCTTGGCAGAAAGTTAATCACCAAAGTAATGTTGTTTGGTTGTCTTTTCTCCAAGCAGTCAGAGTAGGTCATTCATCAGAAATCCCTCATTAAACTACTAGAAAAGTGCTGACTGCTGTCTTTTGCAGGCAACTACACATTAGTACTCAATTCACACCATCTTAAGAAATCAAAATCCCTACAAACTCTTGGGAATTGAGTCGAGCTGTTGAGACTTGTTCAGTGAGATTCCCCACGGTTTAAAACTGTTGCTCTGGGCCAGTGCAATGCTACAGGCTGAGCTTAGCATCAAGCAGGAAGCACAGACAGATTGGCGAAGGATGTACAAATGCACAAGAAGCAGAACTTACTAGGAATGCCTGAAGTTAAAGCAGGGAGGGGCTCTGCAAAAGAGAAAGAAGGAAACGGGAGAAATGTTACCAGAAATGTTAATAAAAACTAATTACCAAATGTAATTTATATCCATTTGTGCAGAATATTTAATCTAAAACTTTCCTTTACAACATGGATTTCAAATATGTGAATGTATAACTCATAATTTAGGGCTCTCTTACTGCAAATTAGATTTCAGAGGATGCAAACTTTATTAAAATAGGAACTGTATGAAAAGGTACGACAGTGTATGAGGGTCATTGTAGATTGAAAAAAGGGGGTAAATTTCTGCCAGAAAAATTCAGAAACTTTTAAAATAATCTCAGAAATCTTTTTCTAGAAAAAAAATATAATTTTCTAAGTTTGAAAAGTCAATAATTTGCTAGAAAATACTCCAAATTCCTTAGATTAATTTCAGAAATATTGAAATATTTGAGAAAAAAATAATAATTTCTTAGTTGTTTTCTGGAAAGTGTCTGAGATTTATTTTCTATATACAATAGTCCTAATATGCCCGTCATACGAGGAGTTTTTCTCGTAAAAAAGAGAGAAACTGCAGCTACTTTTTCTATTTTCTCACCGATCTCGCTCTTCCTAGTTCCTTCTATCTCATGACCTCATTTCTTACTGTTTCCTAAACACAGTTCTAGTGTCAGCAAGCATGCTGACAAGTACAAGACAGGAAATGGATGAAGATGGGGTGAAAAGGTTACGGGACAGTGTGAATAGAAAGGAAGAGGAGGACTGGGAAGTAAGGATGGTCAAAGGTTCATGGGAACATGACCTGAAATTTGCTGCTGTTTATTATTTGCTGGAGGTTATCAAAGTGAGAAACGGAAAAAATAAAGATCATACAGGCAAAGGGAGAGATGAGATATGATTAAAAAAGTAGAAAATTGGTGGACAAACTCAGGTCATACTGTAAGGTTCACTCCAAAAAATGTGGGATTGTATATATATATCATTTGAAAAAAGTGATTGGAGTGTGGTAACAGCCACAGATCTCACAGTTTTTAACAGTTTGGCTTCTGTCTGTTTGTATGCAATTATGCATTATTTCTAGTCATTTCTCTGAAATCTGTATGGTTACACAAACTGTGAGCATAAACTTAGTTTTGCTGCATGATGTCTGACAAGTTGGGGAAGATGACTTCAGATGTTAGGGGTGGATAAAAACGTAGACAATGAGGGTGAGAAGGAAGGAAGGAAGACGCAACAGGATGGGATGGCACAGGAAAAGATAGAGGGAGATATAATGAAAAATTGATTAAAATCCATGCCCAAAGGTCGTTTGCTGCTACGTTCATTTCTTATTTATATGCATTTTTTTCTCGTTTTGACACATGCAAGTGCAAATTAGATCAGTTTTATTAACATTCACCCTTTTTCATCCAGATCCCAGGTAAACACAGAACAAACAAATACCGCCATATGGGACAGACTTGTGACTTACGTGCACACTGCCCCAGTTCGATGTTGTTGCTCATGTGGATGTTGTCTATCCTGATGTGGCCTCTAGTTGGGTGATCAAAAAACCCTTCAAACACCACCTGTGCCAGAAAAAATGGTCTTATCAGGAGGAATTTGTTTATTATTTCCAAAAAACACATAATAAAAAGAGTCATCCTATAATTTTTTTTAATCCAAAGCTTATAATGACTGGAAAATTGTCAACATCTGCCTACCTGATACTCTCTGGGACTTTCGGGAAGGACGGTCCGGCCCTCTCTCCAGTGTGGCCCCTGCTCGCCTTTTAGTGCCCATAGGAGGGTCTCCACCTGTTCGCTGTCCCTCAGCAGGACCCGTAGAGTCCCCTGCGCCTCCCCCTGGAGCTGGTAGTAGAAGAGAAGGCAGAGAGAACCTCGTTCTGGCCCTACTTCGGGGCTCAGCAGTCTGGCCTTCTTGCGCTGGGTGTGGCTGCCTGCATCCAGGTGGAGGTAGTTCCCTGAAAAATCTGGAAGGAGAGAAACAGATGGTGTTTACATGATTTTAATCTTGTAGATTAGTTGAATTTTAGTAAAATAAATACAAGTAAATATGAGGTTAAGCCCTTGTTTGACTCGTCAGTGACCATAAGAAGGTGTTTTATTGTCTTTTACAACAGATAGTTTTAGTTACATTGTAACTTCAATAAAATTTCAGTTTTTAACATTGAAAATTGTTTTATTTTAATGGGCTCTGCTTTTTAAATGTACTAAAAGCATCAGAAAATGCACAGTTTTACTGATTGTACTGGTGTAGTTCAACTTTTTTATCGCTTTGATATAAACACAGCAGTATAACAGAGTTTTATTGAAACAATATTCATTAAAAAAATGTTTTGAGAACATTTTACTATATGTATATCTGCGTTCTTGTAGCAAGTTAAAGCATATAATTCAAGAAATTGTCACCACTGGGTAGTTTTACAGAATAGGTGCAATATGAACCATGATCATTACATTTTTGCACAAACTTGTTCTTAGATAATAAGATTTTAGTCTGTGCTGTTCTGCCTACTTTGAGCTCCTTTCAGAATGAGATGTTTTAGGGCTTCTTGTCACTTTAAATCCAAATAAGCTGCTGGCCACGCCCCAAAACATTTACACTTGCATGTGAAAATGCCTGCAAACAGATGCACAATTATACAACTGTCCATCTTTGAAAAGCAGAAGTAGAGCCTACTGCACAACCAACAAGAATACACCAAGTGGTTTATGAATAGTAAGTCTACAGTGAAACACTTGTCTTTTTCAGCAGCCATTGTACAGTGCATAACCAGCTGGCCAAACATGCTGGAGCTCTGATTAATTTGCTAGGTGACGACACTCAACAATCTCAACAATCGGGACGTTTTTGAAATGGTTCCTTTTCCAGACACAAAATCATGCCAAAAAAAAAAAAAAACATGCAAAAAGTTGATTTTGCATCTTAGGGTCTCCTTTAAATAAAGCCTAATCACAAACACAATGCTTTATAACAAAGTCATTCTGCCTTGAGACAGTTTTACTCTTTTTTTTTTAATTAATCTGTCCGTCTGTCCATCCACCCATCTCTCAGAATTACAAGAAACATTGAGCAGCTTTTGCAGCACTCTGTGCTCAATAAATAATGCATTAGATTTGAGGTAGCTCAGCTCTTCACTTGGAGGCATTGAGAAAAGGGGGACCTAAATTACCATTGCTCATTAAGTACACTTAGGGAAAAGTTGCAGTGTTTTTCTGTCGTTCCACGTTTGATCTTGGCTGACGTACAAAGGGAAGGAATTAATTAAAAACTCTCCATGGGAGAAACAGAGATGCGGAACTGGCTCTGAGGGAAAGAGGAAAAAAATCCTGTATCACTCGATGCTATCTTTGTACATGAGCGTTGGTCCCACTTTCAGTCTCCTTGTTTATGTTTACCTCTTTGTTAGTGTGTTTGGAGGTTTGTCCATCAATCACTGACTTGTTCTGAGCTCTATGCTAAAAGCATTTATTGCTGGTATAAGATGTGCATACATTTCTACACAAGGCTGAGTCTTCAAAAAGACAAGATCATAGACTAACATTTTACTTCTTGGCACATTGATGGGAAATTATCCACCTTGTCCTTAATGAAAGAATGTTGGTGTAAACTTCTTGTTATCCTTCTTTTCAAAGCATTTTGGAGCTGAAAATATTATAAGTCAAATAATCATGTCATTAGCAGAGGAGGTAATTCAGCCATTTGAATCAGATGTGTTGATCAGGGACACATCTAAAAGTTGCAAACATGATAGAAGTTGAACAGAGTCTTGGGTCATTCAGATTATGTTTTTTGAACAACGGGCTACTTCAACATACCTCCACAAAAAAAGGAGCATTTTTTCTGTGTATAGCCCAACGTGAGAAATTTCAGCACATTTCAAAAAAGAAATAAAATAACTTATGAGCTCTGTTCTGGTTGGCTTTTCTCTTTTAAATCCCCCCAAAAAAGGACTCTTAATGGCAGGGGCTGCCCATCAGATTTGCATACGCAGACAGCTTGCAGACGGGGTGCCACGCTAATGTTGCTGTAGAACAAGAATTAATGTCATGTTGCTGTCAAACAAGGAGACAGGGGTGCTGCTAAGTCAATTTCACATCATCACATAAACGTACAGGGAAGCACACACACACACACAGACACACACAGAGCGCAGCCCAGAGAGATAGGCGTTCGAGCTTTGCCTTGTGTCACGCTTCAGTTTTTTTATGAAGGAGCTGTCCAGTCAACCGTGAACTTGATGGTTTCAACAGATACGATTAAAACCTTGCTACGTAGCAAGGTCATATATGTGTGGGAAGGAAGTGAACCCACAAACTTTGAATGTTTAGTCATAGGTGTGGAGAGGTGTGTGGAGCATTGAAAGCTGCAAAAACCCAAAGTCCTACCAAGGACTTTTGGTCTAGTTTCTAGAGCAAACATTTTAGTGCACTTGAAATAAAACAAAACTTACAAATAACTTTGTAGAAAGACATAAGAGCTTGTTCAACTGGCAGATTATTTCACTATAATTACGTTTTCATCAATATTAAGGGATTATTAACTTGAACAAGCTCCCATTTCTTGTTGAAAAATTACTTGCAAGTCAGTTTTGTCTTATTTCAAGTGTACTAAGATATTTGCAATAGAAAGAAAACAAAAATACTTAGCAAGATTTTGTGTTTTTGCAGTGCATAGAGGTGAAGAGTAACAGTAACACTCCTGTCAAAGCCATCGACTCTTCTAACTGCCCTGGGCAATGTGCGTGCACCTTATAGATGTGTAAGCGTTATGATAACGTGAAAGTGTGATTGATAAAACAGTCTTAGTTATCCTCCTGCTCTTATTAAAGATGCACAGATGTGGAGAAAAGGAAAGCACCACTGAGGGATATGGAAGAGAGGTCAGCGAGGAGAGGAGAAGGCAATCTGACTGACGGAGAAAGAGGGCTGGAGGTGGAAAATGGAGAGAAAATGCTAAAATTATACTAAGCAATGTGAGTTGAAATGGAGGTGAAGAGCTTATAACAAAGGGATGGATTGAAGGAGGCATGGTGCCGTAAGGGGAACAAAGAGAAATGAGACGAGGACTGAGAACAGAGACAGTTTTATAAGAACATTAGAGGAAAGAAAAATATATGATAGTTAACAGGGGGAAAAAAGGGCAGAAAACCCAGATGAGTGTAAGGAACAAAGATATACCCATAGCAGCCACTTTATTAGCAAAGCTTTATCAGTATTTGACTGAACTCATTTTCCTCCAGAGCTTCTGTAGTTCTTCATGGCATGGGTATTTGAAGGTGCTTTTAACACTCCGATATTTTGGTCGATATCAACATCATAGTATCATACAGATTTTGACTAGTATTATTTGGCTGTGGAGACCATTGAAGTGCAGTGAACTCATCGTCATGTCTGTCAAAACACATTTAATCTGAGTTGTTTATCGTGGTGCATTATTCCGTTATTGTGCTCAGTTCCAACATCAAAACGTCTCCATTACTGTTTCCAGATAACAAAGTGCAACGAGTTTCTGCTGCAAACACCTGAAAGGCTATCCTTGCTAACTAGCAATTGAACAAGTGTACCTAATAAAGTGGCCAGAAGGTGCATAAAAGACTCAATACACAATGAGAGATAAAATATGTGCAAAGAGCAAATAAAAACAGTTGTGTTTGTGTGTTATATTTTGACAAAAAGAGGGGAAAAGAACAATACAGACAACTCAGTAAGTTGTCAACTCAGTAGGTTATAGGAGAGGAAGCTCTTTAAGCTAACATTTTTCTCCAGACTTTAATTAAGGCACTGTACACACTTTCAGGAAATCAAGAGAGAAATCCTTGCATCATGGTTGCTTCCAGTGGTTCCTCACAGCATTGGGATGTGTGATTTTTTTCCACCACACTTTGATGTTAATTAGCTCAAAAAAGCTTTGTTCTAAAAAAGGTTTAAGACTTGTTTAGAAATTGCCTGAAAAATGAGACGTTTCTTGAAGCTGCCTGCAAACAGCTTCGAGAGTTAAATATATTTTTGAATATTTCCGTATGGTTGAGTAACTATTAATTTTTAAGTTTTAAACCTGCATAGGATTCAAAAATTGCGAAGTCTACATGTTGTCTGTTATAAGTTACATGAAAAGTTAGATTTTCTCTTGTAATGATCTTTTGTTGTTGAAAAAAACCAGTGCAAACATGAAACGTGTCGCTGTTGTATTCCAATATCAAATACAATTTTGCTAGTCATCTTTTCCAGTGAAAACACTGTGATTAGGGTAAACAACAGGGCTCCGGAGGGTTCCCAATATGCTTAAGGCAACGCAGTCAAGCTGAGCCAGGTCTGGTTGGAAGTAGAAACAAAACACAAAAAAGAGAATGGCATTCACTGCTGATAACATGTTTAAGTCAAGTCTATGCATTTAAACATGGACAAAGCAGAGTCACAAATAGAGATATCACTTTGTGTGTGACAGAAAAAGTCAGAAATGTAAAAAAAAACTGTGAATTCCTGGGACACAATGTATGTTTTGCATGTGAAACATACATTGTTTTGAGATACTAAAATTAAGAGATGAAAAACCTAAGCATTTTTTGCCTTTGTAAGAGCTTTACTTTCACTTATTTTAAGGCATTTATTTTTCTTTATTGTACTCTAAACTGGAAGTAAGCAGATAGGCTTAACCCCTACTAATTTCTCTCATTTTAATCCCTCAAAGCGAGTCTGCTAAGTTTTTTGTTTTTGTCTTATTAGCTGTCACAAGTATTCACAGAGATTGATTGGCAAAGCTATGTGTTCATATGCAAAGCCATAAGCAGCAGTGATGAAAAAGTTGCTTCATTTAGACCTCATGCCTTAGCCACAGCAGGGATGCTGTAAATTATAAATAATCATAAGTAAAACTCAGTTTCATGAATTTAAACCTGCTCTAAATTATTCCTGTTTAGGTATCATGTCAGGGCTGTGTGTTGCTTTTCATGCTGATATTCGTCAGAGGTGTCGCTGTTCTTACTGTCTGATCCCAGCGACAGGTCCTGCCATGTCCCATGAGTGTTATGTCCATTTGAGCCGCCGCTGGCGCCGTGCAGGGTCCAGCTCACCCCTGAGTGCGGATCGGCCGACCAGCCGCACAAACTCTTCTCAAAGTCACACACGGCCGACAGGGATGGCGTCGTGGCTGTGAGTGGAAAAGGAAAGACGGATCATGAATAAATACAAACAGTGCAAAATCACCAAATGTCACCAAGCATTTTTGGTATTTCTAATGCAAATGTCTTAGTAGACTTAAAATAAGACAAAACTTACAAATAACTTTGTATGAAGATATAAGTCAGCAATCCCTTGTTCCACTCACAAATAATTTCACTTATCACATATAAAAACTGTCTTGTTTTAAGTGAAATAATCTGCCAGTGGAACTAGTACACATTTTATCAATTTGAAGGATTTATAATCTTAGAACAAGCTCCTACATCTACCTACATATACCTGAAATAAGACAACACTAGGAACAAGACCAAAAATACTTGGTAAGATTCTATGTTTTTAGTAGAGCATAAAGAAAAGAAACACTGAAAAAGAAGCAAAAAGAAACACAAAAATGATTAAAATTTTCTTTTTCTTTTTTAAGAAAGAAGGAAAGAAAGAAAGTTTGTAAAAATCTTTTTACACTTTCAGAATGTATTCTTTTCTGTTTTTTGCATGGCCGCGTGTTAGAAAATAAATGCAACATATTCTCTTTCATTCAGCACTATTGGATTTCTCTTGGGAGAGTTCAAAATGAAACTTTGCCTTTTCTTCTGTTTTGATTAAGCTGAGAGATTCTGTGTTTGTTTTAAAAAAATATCTTCACACATACAAAAGTAAGGGTAAAGGACAGACGAGAGTAAAAATGTAAATGCAAGAGAACATAATTCAGTCAGGAACTACTAACCTAACACTCATAAAATGAAAGAAGGCAATAAAAGCAAAGGTTGAGTGGCAAAGAAGTATAAAAAAGATTGAAAGAAAGAAAATGAGATGATAAATTATTCCAACTAAACGACGACCGCTGCAGATAAACTCCAGTGAGGCTACTTGCTTGACAGTCAGTTGACCTATAGCTGTGAAATGATACACCAGTGTGAGTCTGGCTGTGGGAGCTTATTTCCCCTCAAACACAGCTTCCTGTGGGACTCTGAATGTAACAGACTTCAAAGCCCAGAGGCTCTGTGGTGCACAGTGACATCATGCCTGCGACCTTAAGAGAGTAAGTGTGTGTTTTTATGGGTGTGGATGCGACACAGTTCGAACTAAATGCATGTGTAAGAAATCTGAACTTGTCGATGTGGTGATGCTTATGAGGAACACGGTGTGCTTACCCGATCTCATCGTAGGAGTCGTCTCCTCCAGTCGGGGCGTGGTGGTGCTCACCGTAACCGTGGTGATTTCTGTCAGGAAACGATACATTTATCAATACAGACCCAAAAGCATGAGGGAAAGATTTCAAAACTATAACACTTTCACTCTGTGAGCTGATGTTTTCACTTACAATGCTGACATTTGTCTTGTATTTTTGTTTTTCTCACACTCGCATGTTTCAGATCAAACATATGGTAATGATATCTCATTTATTATAGGAAAATAACTCTCAAAACAAACTAGGCTGATGGCAATTGTTAACGTCAACAGTGGCACGGCCAGTTATGGTTTAAGGAGTCATTAGTTTCACACATAAAGCCAGGCTGGTTCGATTTCTTCTACATAATTAATCATTTTAAAACCGTCCAAACCTCTGGTTCTAATAAACCCTTTTTTACCGTTACCTATGACTCTTAAAACCTCCTTGAATCCTCAGGCATTTCTCCCCCACACACACATGAACTCACACCACAGACCAAGAAGTTAGTGTCTTTTTATTGACGTAATGGAACAGAAGATTTCTGGCTTGTGTGGCGAAAACACCAGAAGCTTCTCACCAAATTAGTCTCTGAATCTGCTCCTGCCTTTTACGTTATTTCATCCCTCCCTTCGACTCCTCAAACATTCTGCTGAGCACACCTAATCTGTCTCTACAAAAAAAAAAAAACATCGCTAACCCCCCTGAAAAATTGTTGCTTCTGCACATATAAACAAAGATTTTGCCACACACACATGCACGTACACACGCTGAATGAAGGCTTTTTTTTGCCTCTCTGCCATCAAAATATAGAAGTGAAATCCTATCTAAGTGTTGTTTCTGTTTTACTACAGCTGCAATTTTCTTCTTCATAACTCCTTCTCTCACTCTCCTCCTGCCACCTCTCCTTGAGTTATATTTTGATTTCCACTGCCTGCTTTGCTTTCATATGCCCACAAATCTCTTTCTCTCGTGTTTCTCATTTCTCTTCTTTCCACAATCTCTTGTTCCCTTCTGGAACCACCAGGGTTTTCTATGGAAAACTTTTTTTTTTTTACCCCTTTTTTTTTTTTTTGACCGCCCCTCGGTAAATCTATGGCTGCTGTTGATTTACCTCTTGTTGGGTTGTGGTGCAAGTTATGTAAGTTTTGAATTCTGTTTTTGTGTGCTTAAATCTTGATAAAATATTGTACATGCTACTCCTGATAGATGTCAAAAGTACATTACCTTACAAGATGTTTATGCCCTTTGAGCTTTTCTATATTTTGTCATGTTATGAACCACATGTTTTAATGCATTTTATTTGGATTTTAACATGATGTGGATTTCTTTAGGAGTATCTGGGAAAAACGGATGTAAACAAATGTGCAGGACAGTTTCCATAATTTTGAAACGTATAATTAAAAAAAAAACAAAAAAAAAAACGTCCGTCTATCAATTGTCTACTACTTTATGTTGGATTATTAGGCCACCTCTGGTATCCTCCATGTTCTAGATGTTCTTCTGGCTTAACAAGCCTAAAGCAAATGAAGGGACCATTACGAGTTTGCATCACATTTTGATGATATACTGAGGAAGTAGTTGAGCGCTGTTGGTGCAGGTAAATGATCAAAACATGCAGGAAACCAACTCTTGAGTACTGGATTTTTGAAAGCAACTTGTGGTATTTTGGGTTTTTAGCATAAATGGGACTAAATAGAAAATGTATGTCACACTTTTTACATTTTAATTTACTAAAACTTTTGAAAAACACACAGAATTTTCAATCCACCTCACAGTTGCACACACTTCTGTTGGACTGACAAGTTCCAATAAAAAGCATTAGCTAAAACGTCGGAGAGACATAAACACTATTTTAAGGCAAAATAAATAAACAATGCTGCACAGATAAAACGTGTATATTTAAAGTCGGGGTCTTATCTGCTGACATGAAGCTGTTTTAATCATGTGCCCTTTACTTGCTGTAATTAGCCCCTCCCCCAGTAGGAGACAGGAAGGCTTAAGAAAAGGATACATGACCCATTTCACCTCACAGAACCATTTTCCTAATTAGTGACCACACACAGCTTCCGGAAGGCTCCTCTATCCGCTTCCATCTTTCTTTCACCTGTCAAATCCAGTTTTGAACTCTGTCTCTGCTATCCGCCCCTTTTACTTCCTCTATTGCTCATTGGCTCCATCATCTATCCCCTCACCCTCTTTCTATCCTCTCTGTGATTACTGTAAAGGTCAACTAAGTCATTTTAAGAGGTGACTTCAATATTTTTTAACATTATTAGGCAGGCTACTATATGAAATATTTTTGTTTAAATTTTTTCTTCTGAAACTACAAGCAGGAAATATTTATTGACGCATGACAAAAAAGAAGAAATGTTTAAATGGGTCAGTATGATCAGCTACAGAGATGGGCCTTTAGTGTTTGACTCACTTGTGTATGGAAAACAAACACACACACTAAACCCTAAGAAGCAGAAAGTGTCACAGGCACATTGGCTCATTGTAAAGCTGCTGACTGAGCAGGGTGAAACAGAAACAGAAAAATCTGTTCAATTATGGAAAGAGCTCTGGGTGTAAATCTACCTGTGTCAGCCTAAATAACGACTGGTGGAGCACCGAGTGACTGTGTGTTTGTGGGGGAGACGGAGAACGTTCTTGCTACTCAATTACTTTCAGTATGGTAATATTTACCAAATGCATTTGCATCCATTATTACATTATTGGTTGCTGCAGATCTAAATCACTTCACTGATAATTGTGTTCATTAGCAGCAGTGGACAGCTCACCATGCCATACAGTTGTCTCACCATATTAGGCCACATCAAGACTCAAGCAGCAAAAAATGAAATGTGTTGTTTTTACCTTAAAGGAGACATATTATGCTTCAAGTTAGGATAAGTCTATGAACTATACACAACACGTTTATTACATTTTTTGTACAAAATCATTCTTAGATAATCAGATTTTAGTTCGATCAGTTCTGCCGACTTTGAGCTCCTTTCAGAATGAGCTGTAAACCAAGCTTGGCAATGGCATAAGAACATGCTATTCATGTAAAGGCTATCTGTGTGAGATATATGTTTGTCTTCATTAATCAGGAAATAACAGGAAAACACATGTTGACCTAAATTTTCCTATTTTCCAACTAGAGTAACAACTTTAACACAACTTTTTACCAACTTCTAAACTTGTTTTAAACAACTGGATCTATGGCTTAAAAAAAAAAAAAAAAAAAAAAAAAAACTAATTTATTTAAAACAAACAAACAAACAAACAAACAAACAAACAAACAAAAACTTCTAAGTTTACTACAGTTTTTTTTTTGGAGGTATGCAACAAAATTAAACTTTCTGTCTTTTATTAGAATTGTGTGCTTTGGTTAAATGAGATTGAGCTTTTTGGCAACTAATATTCCAGGTGGGTTTGGATTGAAACAAAGCTCCACTGTTTAGTGTAGCGAAGAATCTGTGATGCTGTGGGCCTGTTTCTGTTCCTGGTTGCATTGCATTATGCAGTGGTTTTGAAAATCTTGTATACTCTGATTCTTTCTGAAAACTGAAACTTATCAATGCATCTTACAACCAGATGTTAATCAGAAACATACAGCCAACTGAAGAGAAACGGATCCCTACACACAAAATAATGTGTCTTCCAAGGTATGGTTTTCCCCAGACATAAATAACAAAACCTGTGGGATCAGCTGAAGAGGAGAGATGTTGAGAGAGTATTCACGACTATAAAAAATTGAGAGATTGTCCAAAGAGAAATGGTGAAAGATCTGTCCCCTCTTTACGGTGGCCTGTTAAAAAATCATGGCAAAAATGGGGAAGTGCAAACTAGTAAACAACAGTTAATATCATAGGAAGAGTGCAGTAGCTGTGCTAAAAATATATATGTAGCTTTACAAACTTTGAAAAACTTATGTACAGTTAAACTTTGTGCCACATTTGGAGGCACACAACGCAGAACATTAGTTTTTTAGAGACAGGAAACTTGGAAAATAGTGAGAACATTTATAGTTATGGCACTATAGGGAGCAGAGCATTTAAGTGTTAAAGTATTACATTAAATTCGAGGTGATGGTGGAAAACCTGAGTGTTATGCTGGATGAAAATCATGGCGGTAGTCTGAATGGCAAATCAGACAACTGCTCCTAAAAAGCAGATCTGCAGGTTAGATCTGCAGGTTTGAGTCACATGAAACTTAAAGTACCAGACAAAATCACGACTCCTGCTTTGGTGGTTGAGTGGTTGAGAAAATGAGTTCTTCATGACAAAGACGAAGCTTTTTCAAAGGCTAATTGCCAAAGTATCTTATTGTAGAACAAAAAGACAATGAAAAACCTAAGCTTTTTCATTGTCCACAGTATGCTGTGTTTAGTTGCAAGAACAATTTCTGTATCTAACCTAATAATAAGCATGTGACAGTGGTTCAAAAAGGCTGCAATAATGAAGCTTTAAGTGTGGCTAAAGGCAAAAAGCCGTGATCTTGACAGCAGAGATGCTAAAAGTGAGGAAGCTGTTTATGTCAGGAAACTACCGGCAGTGAATTGCTCATTAGCTCACAAAGTCTGTGATTGTAATTGTAGCCTTAAGTGTCAGGAGATGAGAGTTGATAAAAACGAGGCTTCTGGCAATGAATGGCTAAGAAAATCATCTTGGCTACAAAGGAAATGAGCTTAAGTGTGGAAAAAAAAAGTGAGTTAAGAGTGTCGTCAGGATATGGTGAAGAATGCAATAATAATTATTTAAAGTAACAGAGTTTCTCCAAGGTCTTCCCGAAACATATTTTCATAAAAGAGTATGTTTCTGAAACCCTCAAACATCTTAGACTGTGTAGTAAACTTACAACATGTAAGGTAATTTAGGTTCTGGTTCAAATTGTAAACGCAATGTTGGACAAATGACTTAGTTTCAGAAAAAAGAAAAAAAAAACATAAAACAATCATAATAATAGCAGTCTTAAAAGTAATGTAATAAAAAAAGCAATATTTTGGAGCGGTATTTGATTCACAGACTGACCAGAACTGGCCTCTCTGATTATAATGTAGGTTGG